TGGATATTAATTTCATAATTTATTCATTTGCTCAAAACTTTTAGCATCCATCAGGAATTCTAAGGGCTTGATAATGATTTTGGCAAGTAATGTTACAGGCAAAAACTGCTATGAGCTGTAGCACATTTTAAGGCCCTTAGCATGGCAAGACCAACCAAACCCCCTCCATCCGCTTCCACTGAAGCAGCTTCATATGAGGGGGAGCTTATTCCCTATGGGGGTTACTGACAATTCCCATTGTTAACTTTATTATTGGTTGTCATTATTTCATTATACAGTTATGGATAATTACACCAACTCTTATCTCAATTTGAATTTTGATGCAAATTCTGTGTAGTCTGAAAAGCCTCCATATGGAGACTGTCAGCAAACGCTCCGGCCTGCACTGCAGCGGTCAGGAAGGGAGGCTCTGCTAGGCCGGGATCCGGGGCCTGCACATGTCCCACCAGCCTCTGGGATCTGCTCCAGCAGCCACCGTGGCCTGCAAGAGCAACCCCTTCCTCGCAGCAGGGGGGAACCTCTCATGGGCTTGTTTTGAGCCAGTGGTCACAGGTTTCCAAGCAGCTGAACAAGTAGTTTTCTAAAAAGGAAGTACTGATGGCACTGCGGCAAACGCCATAGCAGAAATGATGCAAAACCCAGGCAACATCATCATCATCTCAATGATGAATGGACTCCAGAGTGAAGCTAACGCTATTTGTTGATTATTTGAATTAACTCAGATAAAAACAATCCATTTCCAAAAAAGACATTTCCTTCCAGAAGGAATAGGATGCAGTCTTAAGAACCTGCAGGTCTCTCAGTGAGAGCAATAAATAAATAAATAAATAAATACAATGTGCCAGGATGTGGCACTTGCCCCAGCTTTGTACCACAGCAACACTGTTGGCAGCTGAAGATCTTGGGCGCTTTGCTATTTCTGCACAAACTGAACACAAAGAGAGTTATTCCTGTACTCCCATGGTATCAAGAGTTTGCAGTCAGTCATTCCGAAAAGCCTCCCTGACAACTCCTTCTAAACAATGGTTTAATATGATTGTTCAAATAATTTTATGACCTAGAAGCTCCCTTGCTCTGACCACCACCAAGTCTTCCAATGAAACAAGGCAAATTTCAAAATCTACATTCAGAAAATGATCGAAAGGCGCCAGCTCCAGAAACCCCCAGAACTGGGGCCTGCCTTCTCACCTACACGTATTTTCTTTGGCTAATTTAGCCATTTTCTTCTATAGTACAGTAGAAGCTGAAATCGTGCGTCACTAGACATATATCATACCAGATAATCTCTCTGGGATTTACCTAACATATGGAAATGTATAAATGTCTAGTTTTTAATAAGAAGAATCATATCAGTGTCTGTGTTTTGTCTCGTAACCTGAGCCCAAAAATACTCAGAGCCCTTTGAAAGTGTCAAGCGAAATCATATTGCACGCTGGGCTGCAGAGACATATTTTTAAAAGATTTTTTTCTCTTATATTACTTATTTTTTTACTCTCTCAAAGAAAACAACAAGAATTTCTAAAAAAAATGCCCAAAATCTGCTCATCCTTATCTTTCTAGGAAAGGTACATTTCTCTAATGACATGAAAATCGGCTTGATTAGCAAGACTATGAATTTATGATACATACAAGAAATACCGGTTTTATCTTTGAACAAAACCTAAATTGTTTGGGATGAGGTAGCAGGAAACAACTGCTGTTCAGGAAAGGAGGGCCTAGGTGACACTCAGCTTCCTAAACAAGTGCGAGCCCTGAAATAACATCTGTACTTGTGCAGCAGGATATTTGGGCTTGTATTTGGGCTGATATTAGCAGAATGGGAAAGGCAAGACCTCCTTCAGCCTGGTGTGGTCATCTCCAACTCTCTTGAAGGCCTCCCTTGGAGGATGGAAAGCTTTT